ATTTTTACCCTGTCCCTTTCATTTTTTTTTTCTATCCCTTTTATTGCTATCACAGGGAATGTATATAAATATCCCCTCTGACTGCAATAGGCATGGACATTAGACTCACCAAGATTGGCGTGATCAGATGCTTTCTCAATTTACAAATCGTGCTGTTTATATCCTGCGAAACTGAAGAGATGAAATGCTTCCGATTTCTTAGACTATAGAGATGATTGGCGCCATTCTGGTCTCCATTCAGCTCTATGGTCAGCTGGCAGAACCACCGGCTGCATTCTTGGGATCCCCCAATGGCACGGGAATGCCCGAGAAGGCCGTGGCAGGCAGTGGGGGAGGCATCTTCTCCTGCTACTTGTAAAAGCAGTCCTGCAGCTAATTAGTCACTAGGATTGCTTTACATGAAAGCCGATCACTGGCTGAAAAAAATATATACCAGGATGATGCCTGCAGCTGCCACTCAATGTGGTGTACCAGTACGTCGCTGGTCATTGTTGGTATATATGCTATGTTCTTCTTTTTTTATGCAGTCTGTGGGCTGAGTGAAAAAAAGAGAAGAAATCTCTGCCAGAAAAAGTGTGTGGCATGCCCACCATTAGAATATACCGCCCTACATCCACCCACTTCTAATATTGGGCACACACGAAATGTTCTTTTTTTGTCTTCAGCCCATGGACGGAATGAAAAAAGAAAAAGAATCTAACAGATTCCCCTATTCACATTGATCAAAGTGGATGAAGAAATCTCTACCCCCAATTTCTTTTTTAAATATATGCTGAAGCATAGGGGCCATCCCTCTGCTCTTTTTTAACTGCGGATGAAAAATCTCATCCAATAGATTATGTATATTCTGAGAGCAAGACCCTGTTGCTGTCAGAATAAACAGATCGGTGCTTCAGCTGAATGGCATTCCTGCAAAGAAAACAGCAATGGTTAACAATAAAACAATAACTCAATAAAACAACTTTTTTAATTGAAATGTGCCAAAAAATATTATAATATATATATGCTGAAGCATAGGGGCCATCCACCCACTGGCCACCCCAGACCCCCATGCTTGGGCATATATGTTATTTTTTAATTTCGGATGAAAAATCTTATCAAACAGCGCTGCACAAAATTTCCTATGTATATTCTGAGAGCAAGATCCTGTTGCTGTCAGAAGAAACAGATCAGTGCTCTAGCTGAATGGCATTGCTGCAAAGAAAACAGCAATGGTTAACAATAAAACAGTAATAGTAAGACCTATACAGTGAGGAACAGAAGTATTTGAACACCCTGTGATTTTGCATGTTCTACCACTTAGAAATCATGGAGGGGTCTGAAATTTACATTGTAGATGCATTCCCACTCTGAGAGACAGAATTTAAAAAAAAAATTGAGGAAATCACATTGTATGGTTTTTAAAGAATTTATTGGTCTTGCACTGCTGATCATAAGTATTTGAACACCTGAGAAAATCAGTGTTAATATTTGGTACAGAAGCCATTGTTTGCCGTTACAGAGGTCAAACGTTTCCTGTAGTTCTTGACCAGGTTTGCACACACTGCAACAGGGATTTTGCCCACACCTCCACACAGATCTCCTCTAGATCTGTCAAGTTTCGGGGGTGTTGCTGAGCAACACGGAGTTTCAGCTCCCTCCAAAGATTTTCTTACGGAGCCACTCCTTGGTTATCCTGGCTGTGTGCTTCGGGTCATTGTCATGTTGGATGACCCAGCCACGACCCATCTTCAATGCTCTGACTGAGGGAAGGAGGTTGTTGCTCAAAATCTCACAATAAAGGGCCCCATTCATCCTCTCCTTAATATAGTGCAGTCATCCTGTCCCCTTCGCAGAAAAGCACCCCCAAAGCATGATGTTACCACTCCCATGCTTCACAGTAGGGATGGTGTTCTTGGGATGCAGCTCATCCTTTTTCCTCCAAACACGAGTGAAGTTTAGACCAAAAAGTTCTACTTTGGTCTCATCTGACCACATGACTTTCTCCCATGCCTCTTCTGGATCATCCAGATGGTCATTGGAAAATGTCAGACGGGCCTGGATATGTGATGACTTGAGCAAGGGAACCTTCCGTGCAATGCATGATTTGAAACCATGACGGCATAGTGTTCTACCAACAGTGACCTTTGAAACTGTGGTCCAGCTCTCTTCAGGTCATTGACCAGCTCCTCCCTTGTAGTTCTGGGCTGATTCCTCACCTTTCTTATCATCAGTGATACCCCACAATGTGAGATCTTGCATGGAGCCCCAGTCCGAGGGAGACTGACAGCTGTCTTTAACCTCTTCCATTTTCTAACAATTGCTCCAACAGTTGATCTATTTTCACCAAGCTGCTTGGCAATTGCCCCATAGCCCTTTCCAGCCTTGTGGAGGTCCACAATTTTGTCTCTGGTGTCTTTTGACAGCTCTTTGGTCTTGCCCATGGTAGTAGTTGGTGTCTGACTGACTGTGGGGTGGACAGGTGTCTTTAAAGAGCTCAGACAGGTGCTACTAAGTTAGATTAATGAGTGGAGTAGAGGTGGACTTTTTAAAGGCGTGGTAACAGGTCTTTGAGAGCCATAATTCTTGCCGTTTCTTAGGTTTTCAAATACTTATGTTCAGCAGTGCAAGACAAATAAATTCTTTAAAAATCATACAATGTGATTTCCTGATTTTTTTAAAAAAAAATATGTTTCTCAGAGTGGGAATGCACCTACAATGTGAATTTCAGACCCCTCCATGATTTCTAAGTGGGAGAACTTGCAAAATCGCAGGGTGTTCAAATACTCCTGTTCCTTACTGTATATGTGCAGTGCTTGTGAGATACTATGGTGTATTGAAACCAATTTTAAACTATAAATCAAATAAATAATATTCATGTGGTTCGCCTACACTACACACATACCCATATTCATGTGCAGCTCCAATCAATTCGATAGAACCGAACAGAGGAGAGCTGGTGTGAGGAGAAGGCTGTACGGGACACTGAAAGTCCAGGCTGGGCCAGGCCGCAGAGAGAGTGGAGGAGAGAGGAGGAATTGCTAACCGCTGATGAGTCTCAAGAACTGCCCCTGAGAGCAGGCAGACCAGAGTGCTGTTGTCCAGAGTGATCTCTGAAGGGGGAACCACAAGAACACGGGGGCCCCTGTCTACAGAGAGACTATCCATTACCCGACTGAGGCCACGGATCGGTCCTATCGAATTCCCCTGATGAAGCCAAGTGACCCGGTGGTGTAACGCATTGGGGAGGGGCTCTGACGTCACGACGCTTAAAGGAGCATCACACAGAGAGTACAGGCAAAGTGGATATCACTATAAGCCCAAATAAATATTTTAAAGAAGATAAGGCACTATACATGATTATTTGATTGCATGTTACCAACACATGGAGAAATAAGGAGAGGAGTTGTAGGAAGTGGAAAGACCCCCTGGAGGAGAAAGGGAGAAATCCATCCATCCATCTTAATACAATATAACGGGGCTCTGGAGGACATCCTGTTGATAAAGTATAATACTACACTCATACATCCGTCTGTCTGGGATAAGGATACAGTCTGCAAATCATCCACTAGTCCAGGGGTCTGCAACCTTTAAGACATAAAGAGCCACTTGGACCCGTTTCCGAGAGGGAAAAAAAAGACTGGGAGCCGCAAAACCATTGCAACATTTAAAACAAATCCGACACTGCATATATTGCGAAAAGCGCTCTGGTCATGAAGGGGGTTTAAGGGCCCAGTAAGCAAAGGGTTAACCAGGGCCACAGTGTATCGTCATAATCACAATCATAGCCTTAGGTCAGTGGTGGGCAACCTTTTTTTTTCAACTGAGCCAAATCTCGCCAAAACCACGATTGAAATTTATTTTGAGAGAAACATTTTTAAAACTGAAAATACATCCCCATATAGTAATTCATCCCCCATAGTAATTCATCCCCCCATAGTAATTCATCCCCCATATAGCAATTCATCCCCCCTATAGCAATTCATCCCCCATATAGTAATTCATCCCCCCTATAGTAATTCATCCCCCCTATAGTAATTCATCCCCCATAGTAATTCATCCCCCATATAGTAATTCATCCCCCATATAGTAATTCATCCCCCATATAGTAATTAATTCATCCCCCATAGTAATTCATCCCCCATATAGTAATTCATCCCCCATATAGTAATTCATCCCCCATATAGTAATTCATCCCCCATATAGTAATACATCCCCCATATAGTAATACATCCCCCATAGTAATTCATCCCCCATATAGTAATTCATCCCCATAGTAATTCATCCCCCCTATAGTAATTCATTCCCCCTGTGTCAATTCACTTACCTTTGCTCCGCGCGTTCCTCTAGCTGTGTTCCCGCGCCGTTCTGGTCTTCAGGGCGGACTGTGAGAGGAGAGGATTTCGTCACGCTGCCCCGCCTACATCCTGACAGCCAATGTTTGGAGGAGGGAGGGGAGCGGGCGCCCGGCACATAGAAGAGCTGCATTAAAAGAGCCGCGCGGCTTGCCGACCCTATTGCCTGTCACCTGGTGGGCAGTGTGCTCCGGAGCCGCAGGAAAGGTGAAAAAGAGCCGCGGGTTGCCGACACCCGCACTAGTCCATATAAGGGATACAAGCTGTTTTGGCCTTACTTAACGGTTTGGTAAAAAAATAAGGAGAGCACATAGAGTGAAGGAGCACTATCTTTCAAAATCATCACAAAGTGGACTTTTGATAATTATATTTATATTGATTAGTATTTATTTGAACAAAATCAATTTGAGCACTTACATTATATATATTTTTTTAGAGGAAATTTTCAGTGCACTATTTACAGTTTATGAATATTTGATATCATAATTCTTTAATTTTGAAAATTAACCTATAGTCACATAAGGCTGTTAGTAGAGATGAGAGCGAAGTATTCAAAAATTCGATTCGGCTGATTCGGCGAATTCGCGGAATAAATTCGATTCGAGTCGAATATATTCGCTGGGAATTTAACTTATAAAAAGGGTGTTTCTAGGCTTCAGAGAGCCTTTATATTAGTGCAGAACACTGTACCTTTAATTTAAATGCCCTTGGAGTCTGCTGGGGAAGAGAAATAATACTGTCAGTCAGTATGACATGCAGATGAGTGCCGTTGATATTAGAATCAACGCACACTTCACTCATTTGGGCAGTCACGGGGCCAAAACCAGAGTGTGGAGCCACAGTGTGGCGGTGGAGGCAGCAGCAATGGGAGGCCATACAGCACCCTATGACAAAATGGAACCCACCAGCAGTGTGAGGAGACCTGAAAGTGGCACATGGCAGAGTGTGGCGATGGAGACAGCAGCAATGGGAGGCCGTACAGGGACCCATGACACACTCTGGACCTGGCAGCAGCATGAGGAGGCGGTACAGGGGCCCATGGGACAGATTACGGGCCTGGCAGCAGCATGCAGGATGGGGGCCCATGGCAGATTACGGGCCTGGCAGCAGCAATGGGAGGCCCGTAATCTGCCAGCACCTATGACAAAATGGAACCCACCAGCAGTGTGAGGAGACCTGAAAGTGGCACATGGCAGAGTGTGTGGCGATGGAGACAGCAGCAATGGGAGGCTGTACAGGGACCCATGAGACACACTCTGGACCTGGCAGCAGCATGAGGAGGCGGTACGGGGGCCCATGGCAGATTACGGGCCTGGCAGCAGCAATGGGAGGCCCGTAATCTGCCAGCACCCTATGACAAAATGGAACCCACCAGCAGTGTGAGGAGACCTGAAAGTGGCACATGGCAGAGTGTGGCGATGGAGACAGCAGCAATGGGAGGCCATACAGGGACCCATGAGACACTCTGGACCTGGCAGCAGCATGAGGAGGGCGGTACAGGGGCCCATGACAGATTACGGGCCTGGCAGCAGCAATGGGAGGCAGATCCCGTAATCTGCCAGCACCCTATGACAAAATGGAACCCACCATGCAGTGTGAGGAGACCTGAAAGTGGCACATGGCAGAGTGTGGCGATGGAGACAGCAGCAATGGGAGGCCGTACAGGGACCCATGACACACTCTGGACCTGGCAGCAGCATGAGGAGGCGGTACGGGGGCCCATGGCAGATTACGGGGCCTGGCAGCAGCAATGGGAGGCCCGTAATCTGCCAGCACCCTATGACACAAAATGGAACCCACCAGCAGTGTGAGGAGACCTGAAAGTGGCACATGGCAGAGTGTGGCGATGGAGACAGCAGCAATGGGAGGCCGTACAGGGACCCATGACAGATTGGACCTAGGCCAGGCAGCAGCATGAGGAGGCGGTACGGGGCCCATGGCAGATTACGGGCCTGGCAGCAGCAATGGGAGGCCCGTAATCTGCCAGCACCCTATGACAAAATGGAACCCACCAGCAGTGTGAGGAGACCTGAAAGTGGCACATGGCAGAGTGTGGCGATGGAGACAGCAGCAATGGGAGGCCGTACAGGGACCCATGACACACTCTGGACCTGGCAGCAGCATGAGGAGGCGGTACGGGGGCCCATGGCAGATTACGGGCCTGGCAGCAGCAATGGGAGGCCCGTAATCTGCCAGCACCCTATGACAAAATGGAACCCACCAGCAGTGTGAGGAGACCTGAAAGTGGCACATGGCAGAGTGTGGCGATGGAGACAGCAGCAATGGGAGGCCGTACAGGGACCCATGACACACTCTGGACCTGGCAGCAGCATGAGGAGGCGGTACAGGGGGCCCATGGCAGATTACGGGCCTGGCAGCAGCAATGGGAGGCCCGTAATCTGCCAGCACCCTATGACAAAATGGAACCCACCAGCAGTGTGAGGAGACCTGAAAGTGGCACATGGGCAGAGTGTGGCGATGGAGACAGCAGCAATGGGAGGCCGTACAGGGACCCATGAGAGACTACGGGACCTGCAGCAGCATGAGGAGGCGGGAGGCGGTACAGGGGCCCATGACAGATTACGGGCCTGGCAGCAGCAATGGGAGGCCCGTAATCTGCCAGCACCCTATGACAAAATGGAACCCACCAGCAGTGTGAGGAGACCTGAAAGTGGCACATGGCAGAGTGTGGCGATGGAGAAAGCAGCAATGGGAGGCCGTACAGGGACCCATGACAGATTACGGGCCTGGCAGCAGCATGAGGAGGCGGTACAGGGGCCCATGACAGATTACGGGCCTGGCAGCAGCAATGGGAGGCCCGTAATCTGCCAGCACCCTATGACAAAATGGAACCCACCAGCAGTGTGAGGAGACCTGAAAGTGGCACATGGCAGAGTGTGGCGATAGAGAGAGCAGCAATGGGAGGCCGTACAGGGACCCATGACACACTCTGGACCTGGCAGCAGCATGAGGAGGCGGTACAGGGGCCCATGACAGATTACGGGCCTGGCAGTAGCATGAGGAGTCGGTACGGGGGCCCATGGCAGATTACGGGCCTGGCAGCAGCAAATGGGAGGCCATACAGCACCCTATGACAAAATGGAACCCACCAGCAGTGTGAGGAGACCTGAAGGAGGCGGTACAGGGGCCCATAGGTACAGGGGCCCATGACAGATTACGGGCCTGGCAGTAGCATGAGGAGTCGGTACGAGGACCCATGGCAGATTACGGGCCTGGCAGCAGCAATGGGAGGCCATACAGCACCCTATGACAAAATGGAAACCCATCAGCAGTGTGAGGAGACCTGAAAGTGGCACATGGCAGAGTGTCGTGGCGTGGAGACATGGGCCCCCCTGGCCACGCTTGACTTTCTGGCCACATAGTCGACATACGGCTACGTTTACTTCCTCGGCGGCTTGACGAAAAATTGCCACACCGCCGAGTAGGAATTTTTGCCCCCGATACTCCTCACTGGCTGACTGCTACTTCCTCCGTGCACACCGGCACCACTACTGGCCGTGGTGGTAGGCTGCAGTGAGCTGGTGCTCTACTCCGTGGCCGTTTGCCTCCACTGACACTGCTGCGACCCTGCTGCCCCTGGGCAACCCACCGACTGTTTTGCTCGCTGCCAAGCTGGCACCCTCTTCTCCTGATGATGCGGAAGCAATAGCCTGATGACGACGAGGCTGCCAAGTGCGATCAGCCTCATCATCATCAATTAGGGTCTCCGCCTCACTACTAGCCCCCTCGGCTGCGTGTGGGTCAGGAGACAGACCTGTCTCTAGACCGGCTACCGAGCCACTCTCCTCGCCAGTACTTCTTCGCCTGGCTGCTGAAGAGGCGGACGTCTCCCCCCATTCCTGACCGCCCTCTGTTAGCTCTTCCTCACTGTACAGTGGGGCTGAGCCCACAGCATGCGATACTTCGCTTGATGAGGGAACACCAAAGGACAGGGGCAGGTAGAGGACACGTGATTTCAGTGGGCTTGCTCCCGGGCCATGCCAACTAACGGTTGTGTCTGACGTACCCACCCGACCGTTGGCTGTAGGTGTCAGAGGTGACCTGGGAAGAGGAAGACGACTGAGCCAACCAATCGATGACGGCAGGGTTGTCGGTGGAGACACGACCGCTGGATGACACCGGGAGCACTGGCCTCTGGCTGCGACTAGTGCTGCCTCGACCCCTTCCTCTGCTGCCATGTCTGCTCGCCTCCTGAAACATTGCCTCCTCTGCCACTCCTCTGCGTGTTGTCTGACATACTCTTTAATTCAATGATTCTGTGTCCCTGAGTAACAATTCTGTGTCCCTGAGTAACAATTCTGTGTCCCTCAGTAACGATTCTGTGTCCCTCAGTAACAATTCTGTGTCCCTGAGTAACATTTCTGTGTCCTCTGTCCCTGAGTAACAATTCTGTGTCCCTGAGTAACAATTCTGTGTCCCTCAGTAACGATTCTGTGTCCCTCAGTAACAATTATGTGTCCCTGAGTAACAATTCTGTGTCCCTCAGTAACAATTCTGTGTCCCTCAGAAAACAATTCTGTGTCCCTCAGTAACAATTCTGTGTCTGTCCCTGAGTAACAATTCTGTGTGTCCCTGAGTAACAATTCTGTGTCCCTCAGTAACAATTCTGTGTCCCTCAGTAACAATTCTGTGTCTGTCCCTCAGTAACAATTCTGTGTCCCTCAGTAACAATTCTGTGTCCCTGAGTAACAATTCTGTGTCCCTGAGTAACAATTCTGTGTCTGTCCCTGAGTAACAAATTCTGTGTCCCTCAGTAACAATTCTGTGTCCCTGAGTAACAATTCTGTGTCCCTGAGTAACAATTCTGTTTCCCTGAGTAACAATTCTGTGTCCCTCAGTAACAATTCTGTGTCCCCTCAGTAACAATTCTGTGTCTGTCCCTGAGTAACAATTCTGTGTCTGTCCCTGAGTAACAATTCTGTGTCCCTGAGTAACAATTCTGTGTCCCTGAGTAACAATTCTGTGTCTGTCCCTGAGTAACAATTCTGTGTCCCTGAGTAACAATTCTGTTCTGTCCCTGAGTAACAATTCTGTGTCCCTGAGTAACAATTCTGTGTCCCTGAGTAACAATTCTGTGTCCCTCAGTAACAATTCTGTGTCCCTGAGTAACAATTCTGTGTCCCTCAGTAACAATTCTGTGTCCCTCAGTAACAATTCTGTGTCTGTCCCTGAGTAAAAATTCTGTGTCCCTGAGTAACAATTCTGTGTCCCTGAGTAACAATTCTGTGTCCCTCAGTAACAATTCTGTGTCCCTCAGTAACAATTCTGTGTCTGTCCCCTGAGTAACAATTCTGTGTCCCCTCAGTAACAATTTCTGTGTCCCTCAGTAACAATTCTGTGTCTGTCCCTGAGTAACAATTCTGTGTCCCTGAGTAACAATTCTGTGTCCCTCAGTAACAATTCTGTGTCCCTCAGTAACAATTCTGTGTCCCTCAGTAACAATTCTGTGTCTGTCCCTGAGTAACAATTCTGTGTCCCTGAGTAACAATTCTGTGTCCCTCAGTAACAATTCTGTGTCCCTCAGTAACAATTCTGTGTCTGTCCCTGAGTAACAATTCTGTGTCCCTGAGTAACAATTCTGTGTCCCTCAGTAACAATTCTGTGTCCCTCAGTAACAATTCTGTGTCTGTCCCTGAGTAACAATTCTGTGTCCCCTGAGTAACAATTCTGTGTCTGTCCCTGAGTAACAATTCTGTGTCCCTGAGTAACAATTCTGTGTCCCTCAGTAACGATTCTGTGTCCCTCAGTAAGAATTCTGTGTCCCTGAGTAAAAATTCTGTGTCCCTGAGTAACAATTCTGTCTGTCCCTGAGTAACAATTCTGTGTCCCTGAGTAACAATTCTGTGTCCCTGAGTAACGATTCTGTGTCCCTAAGTAACGATTCTGTGTCCCTAAGTAACGATTCTGTGGCCCTAAAGTCTCTCTGGCCCTAACTCCCTAATACAGACAGGTCTGTCTCTCATTGAATGACCGGAGGCTAATGGAGAATTGTAAGATGGCCTCAATTTATAGCTCCACCATTACACAGTGCTGGCTGGCTGGCTGCTGATTGGCTAATGCGATCACATGTCATAAATGAATGCATTATGGGTCAGCGCGCCTTGTCTGCCCGCCTTCCCAGAGATCCCCGCTCCGTCGCCACACATGTAGCCGCCATTTTTGGGAAAATTCGATTCGTGCATCCGAAGTTGGCTAATTTTTCGGATTCGGCGCGAATCGAATATTTCCCAATATTCGAAACAAATTCCACTTCGCCATGTTCGATTCGCTCATCTCTAGTAATATACTATATTGCCAAAAGTATTAGGACGCCTGACTTTACACACACATCCCAGTCTTAGTCCGTAGGGTACAATATTGAGTTTGCCCACCCTTTGCAGCTATAACAGCTTCAATTCTTCTACGAAGGCTGTCCACAAGGTTTAGGAGTGTGTCTATGAGAATAATATTTTTACCATTCTTCCAGAAAAGCATTTGTGTGGTCATGCACTGATGTCAGACGAGAAGGCTTAGCTTGCAGTCTCCACTCTAATTCAACTCAAAGGTGGTTTATCGGGTTGAGGTCAGGGCACTGCAGGTAAGTTAAGTTCCTCCACTCCAAACCCACTTATCCATGTCTTTATGGACCTTGCTTTGTGCACTGGTGCACAGTCCTGTTGGAACAGGAAGGGACCATCCCCAAACTGTTCCCACAAATTTGCCCAAAATGTCTTGGTATGCTGACACCTTAAGAGTTCCCTTCACTGGAACTAAGGGACCAAGCCCAGCCCCTGAGAAAATACACACACCATAATCCCCGCTCTACAATGCAGTCAGGCAAGTACCGTTCTGGCAACCGCCAAACCCAGACACGTTCATCAGATTGACAGACAGAGAAGCATGATTCGTCACTCCAGAGAACACGTCTCTACTGATCTAGAGTCCACTGGTGGTGTGGTTTACACCACTGCATCTGACACTTTGCATTGCATTTGCTTATGTAAGGCTTGGATGCAGCTGCTTGACCATGGAAACCCATTCCATGAAACTCTCTAGCTTCATGAACCTGGTCATGCAGTGCCTATAAAATCCATATTGGTTCATCTAATATGATTCTGGAATGAACAACAATTTAATTAAAAATTATTAAGGTATTGAATTGATGATACACCACCCTATATGAATGACAAAAAAGAAAAAAAAAGGTAAAAGGGGTGCTCCCACCCAAACAATAATGCAAATTGGAAATGGATGCTTCCAACTCAGGATGGTGACTGTGAGGGCAATTAACAGGTACAAAAGTGCCTCATCCTATTATAGACTGATTGAACATAGAAAAAAGAACTCATGCACTTTTTAGGCACTACAATTATATTTCATAAAAACAGCATTTTATTAAACTTTTACAAACATATAAAATATCTTTACAAAATGGTAACTTTCACCCTGTAATATATAAGAATTCACTGGATATACACATACTATTGACGAACTCCACAGTCTTAAAGGAGTGCCGTGTCTCGGCAATAACTATAAGGGGTATTCTTTATTGGTGGTAACATTTGCTCAACATGTTTCACAATGATATCTCTTCTTCAGGAGGTATGAGAAAGTTTATAGACAAAAATATAAGATATATAGATAACATATAAGAATCGTACATACAATGAAGTAACAGGGACATGCAAAAATCCCGACAAATAGTAAAAACAGTAATATAGTAGATGTACATACATCTGCACAGAGACCATGGAGGCATGCACCCAACAAAACCATGGGCAGCCAATCTATGAGGGGATCCCAATCACCACAGGAGGGCGTGCATCAAACCCCAGGAAAAAACCTGGCACATAATGGATATAATAATGTTATTGTTAATAATAACAATAGGGTCAAAGATTGTTTAATTGATACTACACACTTTAATAAGCTTAGGGAGACCAATATTATATACACAAGTCTATGAGAAAACAAAAATAAGGAATCATTTGT